GATGATAATATTAATATTAATAATAATACCACTATTACTAATAATAATGATAATAAAAAAGTAAATTATTCCAATTTAATTAAACCTAATAAGGAATTAATTAACAAATATATAAATTTCTATATGAAATATCAACGTTTAATAATTTTAGATTGTGAAACAAGTGGATTTACTAAAAATGATCAAGTGATTGAATTAGCAGCAATTGAAGTTATAAATGGAATGAAAACAGGTTTAATATTTAATACAAGAATTAAATTAAATGAAAATGTTAAAATTCATGAAAAGGCTTTTAATGTTCATCAAATAAGTGAACAAGATTTAATTACAAAACCAAATTCTAATTTTATTTATTCTAATTTTATTGAATTTTTAAAAGATAAAAATAATTTAAATACTGGTATTATTGCACATAATTTAAATTTTGATTTAAGAATGATTAAACAAGATATTTTAAAATATTTATTTAATGAAAATTTAAATGATATTAATAATTTAAATGATAAATTACCAAATATATTAATAGATACAAATAGACATTTTTGTACAATGAATTTTTATAAAAATATAAGAGGAAAGAATAATAGTTATGATTTAGATAGTACATTACATTATTTTGGAATTAATAAAAAACAAAGACAAGATAAACATACAGCACTCATTGATACACAAGTTACTTTTGAATTATTTAAAAGTTTAAAACAATATATTGAATTAAATATTAATAATCAATCTATTAATGATTATTATTATAAATATTTATTAAATAATAATACTATCAATAGTAGTAATAATATTATTAATACTAATACTACTAATAATGGTCAAGTAAATTCATCATCATCCTCTGTCAATACTACTACAACTATTAATGTGGTGGCAGAAAATGTATCTAATGATGAAATGAATATTGATAATGAAAATTATTCAATATTTAGTTATATTAAAGATCTATTCAAATGGTTTTAAAATGAATCATTATCAACAATTCTATCACCAACAATTCAAATCAATTCAAATCATGTCTTATTCATTCTTCTTGCTGTTCATTTAATAAAATAATAAATTCTCTTGAACTTTGACCAAATGTTAAAATATCATTATTTTTTAATTCATAATATCTTGAATCATCAATTCTTTCACCATTAATAAATGTTCCATTTGTACTTTTTAAATCAATTATAAATGGTTTAATATCTTCTTCATTATTTAAAGATGATTGTACATATCTATTTTTATCATTATTAATAATTTTTCTAAAACAAATAACAGCATGTTGACTACTACATGATGGATTTAATAATGAAATATCTGTTACATCTTGATCTCTACCTAATAACCATGCTTTTTGTTTATATAATAAAATTGGATTTGATTTTTCATTTTTCATTTCAACAATTATCCATTTTAAATTTGTTAATTTACATTCAGGTGGTGATTGCCATTTTAATATCGTTCCTTTTTGATTCACTATATTACTTTGTAATATTAATATACCACTATTTTCAAAATTAATTCCAACATTTATATTATTAGTACTGGATAATGTTTGATCGTTATTATCATTTAAATTATTATCATTCTTATTATTAAAAGATGATGATGATGATGAATGACTATTGAATGATGATGATTGTTGATTAGCCTTTTTTAATTGATATAATAAATTTCTCTTTTCTCTTTCTATTTTGTTTTCTTCATATATTTCATTATATGTTCTCTTATTAGATTGTTGTTGTTGATTAGATGGATTCAATGATGATGTAGTATTTGATGTAGTAATAGTTGATGATTTCTTATTAGAAGCAAAAGGATCAATTCTTTCAGGTGATAATTGATTATTTCTCCATTTTGAAGTGTAATCATTTTCTCTATCTGATATTGTTTTTGTTTTATATTTATCAAATACATCATTAGATTGATTTCTTTCATAGTTTTTACTAACTTCTTGTACGTAACGTTGTGGATCATTCCATTGATTCTTTACACTTTCATTCCATCGACTAGAATTTTGATTATTATTATTATTAGAAGAGTTTTTAAAGGCTTCAAAACCAGAAAATTCCTCTCGTTT